AAATCCGAAATGTCGTGAATACCAAGTCTCACAATCTCCCAGATGTCGATCTCACAATGTCAAGTACATCTCCGAAGGAGAGATGGAATCAGATCAGTCCTCAACTCGTACTCTCAATGTCGATGTCTCGGATGTCATCAGAAATCGTAACCATCTCCATTACTGTAGTAGTAGTCCTAAAGGAGGAGTAGACTTAGACTAAGAAGGTAGGGAGGGAGAGAGAGAGAGAGAGAGAGAGACGAGGCAGAGGAACAGAGGTAGAGAAGGCAGAGCCTTCCTCCCGGTACCTGCTGGTACCTATGGCGCGGCTGGGCCGCTGCGCTGTTCCTTTTGCCGCTGTGCCGCTGTCTCCTTGCTGCGCTCGCTGCTGCAGCGCTGTGCTAATCTGCTTAACGCTTGGCTGCTCCGCTAATCCTCCAGACTAACTCGTACATACTAACCTCTCTACTGAGGCTGGTACCCAGCGTTTTGTAGTGTTGGGCCGGCCTCTTGCCTACCGGTACCTACTGGCCTGGACCGTTGATCTAGATCAACGGTCCAGTTTCGAAACTGGTTTGGTGCCTAAACAACGGCAGCCTCTGAACCGCTGCCGGTAGGTCCTAGGCTGGACCGGTACCGGCCTTGTGGCCGTTCGGCCTGGGCCTGCCTGAACCGCCGTGGTCCAGGCCCTTTTTAGCCTCATCTGAACCGGTGTCCCCTAGGCTAACCCTGCCTGTCTTGGAACCGGGCCCTAACTGGGGCCCGAGTGGCTCAGTATGCCACACACTCCCCCCCTTGGAGGACCGAGCTAACTGTGAGGGCGAAGCTGTCTGTCCGATGTCCATACAGGGCGGGCAGGTTGGGCAGCTTCCTTAGCAAGTCGCTGTTTTTCATAATGCTCGAAGATGAGGGGTGCTGATGCCTTCAGATCAGCTCTTGAGATCCAGCGTGTGTCATTCGGATCGCATTGCTTGAGTGTAACTTTGTACTGCATTGGCTTGTTGCCATGCTTGCGATGCGTGAGAACCCGGTCGACCTCCTGATGGCCATCCATTGAAGGAGGGTCCTGTGACCGTCTGCTCGGGAAGTCCGCTGCGGAGGTTGGAGTGTAAACCGCCAGCTTCGAAGCGTGAAAGATCGGGTGTACCGTCAAATGCGGGGGAATCTCAATGATGAATGATGGACCCGCGGGGTCGTCGCCAGCTGCTGAAGTGACCATCCATGGTCCAAACCACTTCAAAGAGGAGCTTGCGCGAGACATCCTGCTCGAGCGCGAATTCCTCGGAGGTGACCCAACTAGGTCGCCGGCGCGAATTGGACATGGGATGCGACGCCGGTTCGCTTGCTGCAGCATATGCACCTGAGCCTTTTGCATGTTAGCGCGGGCTTTGGCCAGCAGTTCCCTGTACTTCCGTGTAGAAGCGGGGGAGCAAGCGGCGTCTATATCGGCAGCCCGTGGAAGCAAAACGTCTGCGAAGATACGTCCTTTCCGTCCGCCGTGGTGCAACTCGAATGGAGTTACGCCGATCGCCGGGTGCACCGAAGTGTTGTAGGCGAACTCGATGTCGGGAAGGCGGTCAACCCAGTCTTTCTGATCCGGGCGGATGAGTGTGCGGAGCATCATCTGCGCAGTCTGGTGCGCATGTTCCGTCTGCCCATCCATTTGAGGATGCCGTGCGGAGCTCGGTTTCATGCTGGTGCCGGATTCCACCATGAGTGCCGCCCAAAAGGCCGACATGAAACGAGTGTCGCAGTCGCTGACGATGTCTTCCGGAACGCCGTGGCTGCAAAACCAGCCGGTATGCAAAAGTCGTGCGAGCTCGGGAGCCGTCGCATGATACTTGCATGGAAGAAATCGAGCGTACTTGCTCAAACGGTCACCGACCGTGAGAATACCATCATGACCAAGGCGATCGCGAGGGAAAGRACCGGTCACATCCATAGCAATGGAGAGACYTGGTGCCCGMGRTATCGGCARTGGTTTCAGTTCKCCRTAAGGGAGCTGATGGCGCCCTTTATTCCGGTGGCAAACTGCACATGACTGAATGTACTGGTTGACGTCGTTGATGATGTCCGRCCAGTGAAAAYGCYGGYGGAGTCGTGCTAGTGTGCGTGCGACGCCAAGGTGTCCTACCAGCCGCGAATCATGGTATTCGCCAAGGAGGCGAGTGCGCAAGATGCGGTCTTGGGGAACACACAACAAGTCCTTGCCTCGCGTATGGAGGAGCAAGTAGCCGTCGGTGATGCGATAGTTGCTTGCCGGCGGTTGGTCSGATGATAAGTYCGCGTARAGTGTGGAGAATCCYGGATCCGACTTGTAGCCGTTTACGAAATGTTGTTGGAGGTCCTCGTCGAGGCCGAACGTGGAGTGTACCATGGCGCAAAGATCGGGTCTTCGCGAGACAGCATCCGCCGCCTTGTTCGAGGAGCCCGAAATGTGCTTGGAGGTGAAGTCAAACTGGTCAATGAAATACATCCACCGACCGATCGTGCTGCTCACCGTGTCTTGCGTCTTGTAATATGTCAACGGGTTGTTGTCCGTTGCCCACGTGAATCGCCGACGCCCGAGGAGAAAGTGACGCCAACGCTTAAGTACGGAGACAAAAGCTAGGAGTTTCCTTCTTCCTCGCATCATCAAGAGTGTTGATGGGCGGCACCTTTTGGCTGAAATACTCAACCGGATGCCAATCTGTGCCGTCATGTTGTTCCAAAACCGCGCCAATGCCGTAACCGGAAGCATCCGTAGTCACTTTGGTAGGCAACGTCGGGTCATAGATGCTTAGGACGGGAGCTTGAAGCAAAGCCGTCTTCAGCGTGTGAAACGGATGCCGGGCCTCATCGCTGAACTCGAAAGGCACCAAGGGGGACTGAAGTTGTGACAATGGTGCAACGATGTGTTGAAATCCTTTGACGAAGCGCATGTAGAACGATGCCAAGCCGAGAAAGGAACGGACGTCGGTAGTACACTTGAGGTCCGACCAATCTTGAATAGCTTGTAGCTTGTCCGCGAGCGGACGAATGCCTTGTGGCGTGACATAATGGCCCAAGTACTCCAACTCTTGCTGAGCAAACTCGCACTTGTCGCGGTTTGCCTTGTACTTGGCGATACGAAGCCGCTCCAATACGTCGCGAAGATGCTCGAGATGCTCGTCCAGCGACCGACTATAAACCAAGATGTCATCGAGGGAAATGAGTACGGAGCGGTCGAGCAAGTCTCGGATTTCCGTCGTCATAGCCGCTTGGAAAGTAGCCGGGGCATTGGTGAGACCGAAAGGCATGACGATCCACTCAAAGTGCCCATACCGCGTCTTGAATGCGGTCTTGTACCGATCTCTTGGCTGAATCTTGATCTGGTGATAACCGGACTTGAGGTCTAGCTTGGAGAAGTACTTGGCGCCGCCGAGTCGCTCGAGAAGATCATCGATCCGAGGGAGAGGGTCGGCGTTCTTGATCGTTTGTGCGTTGAGTTTACAATAGTAGATGCACAACCGAAGGTCCTTGTTCTTCTTCCGGACGAAGAGAACGGGAGCACCGTATGGCGAGCAGCTAGGGCGAATCCAGCCCTTGGCCAAGAGGKYGTCTMGTTGTGCTCGAAGCACTTGAAGTTCCTCTTCGCTCATGCGGTAGATACATCCGCGCGGAGGTACGGCGCCGTCCTCGAGAGTGATCCCGTGACGTATGGGCCGATCCGGTATGAGTCCGGCGGGAGCTTGAAAGACATCCCCATAGCTGTCCAACAACTCAATGATGCGTGGATCCGACGTATCCGTCTTGGGCTGATCACCGGGTGGGAGGGCGTGAAGAAAACATATGCCCATCTCCTCGATGTCGTTTCGCCGGATGGATTGGCGAATGCTCGCCGCGGATACCACGTGACAACCAATCGAAGGATGAGGAAGCAGCACCGTACACGGGACTAGTTCGCCATGCCGATCACGAACGTGAACGGTGCGGCGATGGAAGTTCACCGAATGGTCTTCGCTTTGCAGCCACGACATGCCTAGGATCATATCGAACTTGGTGTCCAATATGTCGAAGGACACGGCCTCGCTTGCTAGCGGGGCGAAGTACACGGGCACCGAGTCAACGCATCGGTCGATTGACTTTTGCGTGTGACCATCGGCCAACATGACGTGCGTAGGCTGACTTTTCCTTCGAACGCGCGGGCCTAGCCCGGCGCGTGCCATGAAGTCTTGGCTGATGTAGTTCCGAGTCGCTCCACAATCGATCAAGGCACTGCAGGTCGCCTTTCCGATCTGAATGCGGATGTAGAGGAGCGGTGCGCCGGTGTCGACGTACCGTTGCGTTGCGTACTCGCGGTCGATCTTCGCAAGAAAATTGCAAAGGTCAACAACCACTACTCCGCCGTCCGTCGACGGAGGTGGTACTGCAGCGTGCAAGTATTCGCGTAGATGTGCCATTAAGGCATTGCAATGCGGAGTTGGCAAAGAACTGTCAACGGGTTGAGATCCTCAAGTCTCGCCCAAGTTGACGGATCCCCCGATAAGATGGCTGGTGAAGCCACCGGTTCATTATTCGACTGCGGAACTGCCGCGCATACGCTTGAATCTTGCACGTGGAGAGGCTGGTTCAACGGTGGGACCAGCTCGACAGCATAGTTCTCGTACTCAACGCGAGAACTTGCGACTGCCGCGGTGTCCCCGGATGTGAGAGAGGCTGCTAGCAAGGAAGCCGACTCCGGCGGACTGGGAAGTGTTGTCGCTGCACTTCCCGCGGTGCTCAGTTTCCAGAGCCAGGACGCTTGACATTTTCTTTGTCCTTGTCGAGGCATGCACTGGTGATGTGCTTGGTGATATTGCACCACAAACAACATCCCCATTTCTGTCGCAACTTGAACATGTCCTCGGTAATCCCGAACTTCGTCCATGGTGCCTGTCGTGCTCCATCCGCCGATGCTGGTTTCGCCTTCTGTTTTCCCCCTCGGGGTTTTGAGCGTTGCGGTGGTATCGCTGCCGCCACATCTCCGTCACTTGATGTCGAAGCGGCTGCGTAGTCCTCACTTTGTCCTTGCTGGACTGCTGCTACTTGCGGCGTCCGTTGACCTTTTCCTTTCTCCACGTAACCGGGCTGCTGACGAGTTTCGTTAGCTGCACGCCGGTTACCTTGTATAAGCTCTCTGGCTTTGGCGATCATGTCATCAAAGTTCTTATACTCGTATTTGCTGCCGAGAGCAGCAGTCAAGGCGTCGCAGGATCGGGCGAAGAATTCGCCTCGGATCGAGTCGAACGGTAGGTTCAACTCCGGGGTGGCAACAAGTCTTTGCCACTCCGTCAGCCATTCCCGCAAAGGTTGCCGGCCTTGGACGATGTGGAAAATCTTGTTCAAGGTGTGACGCTTGTCATTGTTCACCATGAACCGGGTCTTCCATTTCTTCTCAAACTCCTCCCACGTGATCTTCAGGTGGAGGGTGGCGATGGTACACTCAAGAGTCGCGGCCATGTGTGTCATGAATGCTTGCGCTCCGCCTATCAGTTGGAGGTACAATGAATTCAGCCGTCGTAGGGGCGGAGTATGATGCACGTCGGCCTCTGCGTTGAATGTCATCCACCATTACAGCGGATCGGTCTTGTGATAGTCGTCAAACTTCTCAATTTTGAAGTTCGACATCTTCCATTCCTTGGCGACGGCGACCAGTCGTTGATCAACGTGGTCGCTGAGCGTCTGCAGCTGATTGCTGACTGTAGAGGCTCCTGCGAACTTGCTGATATCGCCCAGGGATGCGACTAAATGATTGACCCGCTCCTCCAATTGCTTTGCCTATGCGGCCAAAGTTGGGCTGCAGTCGACTGCTGCACTGCCCGTTGACGCAGCTGCTGACAGTTGTGCCAACCCGTTGCTGACATCTGCCTGCAGCTGGTGGTTGAGTGTCTGCTGCTGGCTGTTGGCGGCATGTAGTGTCCTATTCTCGGCCTGCAGCGACGTGATCCTGCTATCCATTGCCTTGAGTGTTGTTTCATGGCGGATGAGGACTTGCCGCGTGGCGAGCAGTTCGCGTTGCTGCCAGTTGCATGTATACAGCAGATTCTCCATCAGAACTGCTATTCCTTCTTTATCTGCTTCCTCCGTGGTTGGCTCTTGCCGTTCCTCGGTTTCGTGGAAATGTTGTCGGCGAAGTAGCCTACCATAGGTGGCTTCATCGCGAGTCAGATCCATAGTGGCTTGGTAACGAGCCTGGTTCTGATCTGCCTCGACCTGCTACTGTTGCAACCGTGCGGCTGCTGCAGCTTCTGCTGCGGCCTGCTGACGTGCTGCCTCKGCCTCTGCCAGCTGGCGTTGAATCTCCTGYTGGCGGGCGGCTTCCTCTTCTTCCCACTTGCGTWGTTCAGCGGYCGWCGTCTCGGAATACTTCTGGAGACGGTCTAGGAACGCTAGGAGCGGTTCATCGGCCTGCTGAACTGGGAGAGGAGGTGGAACCGGCCTCTTGGGGCTGGTTGGTGCACTCTTGTCAGAGGTGGAAGCCATGGTCGTGCGTCGCTTGCGCGGGATTCGTGGTGCCTTGGGTCCCGGTTGGGGCTTGGCTGCCTTGGACTCGCGTTCTGCCAATCCTAGGCTGCGGCGCATTTAGTGTCCGGCTGCACGTTGCTGTTGACGTGGCACTTTGCTGACGTGGCAATGTACTGACGTGGCACTCTGCTGGCGTGGCACTTGCGTGTCCCTCTGCTGATGTGTCACTGTACTGACGTGTCACTTTGCTGATGTGGCACCTCTGCTAACGTATCCGGAGACGGCAGTTTGTAGAACCAAGAGGAGAAGAGAAGGTGGGGCGGGGAGGAGGGGCAGAGAGGCACACAATGCACAGACAGTCCCTGTGTCCCCTGACCTCAAAGTCTGGTACTAATCAAAGGAAAAAATTTTCCCCCCCGAACAAATTTTCGAATTTTGGAAAATTAAATAAAATTTTAATCGTAAAAATAGGAATTAATAACATTTAATTTTGGCAAAAGATTTAATACCTGATTAACGAAATATTTAACTTTGCAACCGTTTATTCACAAAGGTTAAATATGTAATCGAAATATTTTAGATTTGCATCAATAAAAGAAATGAATAAGTGTACGCAAGTTTAAACTATTTAGACATAACTAATGAAAATTTCACGAAATTTCGTCGGAAGTTTTAGCATCATCACGAGGTCACTTCATATAGTAGAGATGAAAGTTAGCAGTACGATACACAATTCGCTGGAAAGATTCAATCTTTCGGTCGCAAAAAGATGCAGTTTGCAAAAAGTGAAAGTTTCGTGAAGTTGCAGTTCGCTTATGGCCTAGCTCAAGCCCGATCAGCCTTGCTTGGCGCAGTGCCTGGCTGGCACTTACTCTCGATAGGTTAGGTAGGTCGTTTAGATTAGGTTAGGATTAACCCTAATTAGCGCTAATTAGGTTCTACCTCGTAATTAGGAATTCCTAACTGCGTAATTCGAGAAAAGTCCAAAACCTAAACTTTCGATTAGGACTCACCCTAATTAGCGCTAATTAGGTTTACCCATAATTGGTAATTCCTAATTGCTCAAGATTGAGAAAAAGTCGCAAAACCGAAATTTGAACATCTTAATCCTACGAAAATGTACGAAAAGAAAAAAAATTGCAACTTTCGATTTTAATGATAACAGAGTGCAGGAAACGATAATCAATCAATCAATCAATCAATCAATCAATCAATCAATCAATCAATTAATGGTGAGTCATCCAATACAGGTCTGCTCCGATACCAAACTGTTGCATACTTGTGAAACACAGTCATAAGTATGGCGCAGATTCCCAGAACCGACCAGATAATACATAGTTGATACAAATACAGCGGAAAGGCATGATACCTTTGGATTGACTCAGACCAGACTCGGACTGCAATCGAACAACTCTCATACATTCATCGGGTGTGAATGCTCTGGCTTTGAGAAGGGACGAAGGGCCAGGGGCTAGGATCATACATGGACGCAAGGGGGAGAGGAGAGAGACGAAGTAGGAGGAGAGGGGAGATGATGTCAACTCAATGTTTCCAATAATAGTAACTTGAACTGTCAGAAGTGACGAAAATCCGAAATGTCGTGAATACCAAGTCTCACAATCTCCCAGATGTCGATCTCACAATGTCAAGAACATCTCCGAAGGAGAGATGGAATCAGATCCCGAAATAGTCCTCAACTCGTACTCTCAATGTCGCTGTCTCAGATGTCATCAGAAATCGTAACCATCTCCATTATTGTAGCAGTAGTCTTGTAGGAGGAGTAGACTTAGACTGAGAAGGTAGGGAGGGAGAGAGAGAGAGAGAGAGCCGAGGCAGAGGAACAGAGGGAGAGGAGGCAGAGCCTTCCTCCCGGTACCTGCTGGTAGCTATGGCGTGGTTGGGCCGCTGCGCTGTTCCTCTTGCCGCTGCACCGCTGTCACCTTGCTGCTCTCGCTGCTGCAGCACTGCGTTAATCTGCTTAACGCTTGGCTGCTTCGCTAATCCTCCAGACTAACTCGTACATACTAACCTCTCTACTGAGGCTGGTACCCAGCCTTTTGTAGTGTTGGGCCGGCCTCTTGCCTACCGGTACCTATTGGCCTGGACCGTTGATCTAGATCAACGGTCCAATTTCGAAACTGATTTGCCGCCTAAACAACGGCAGCCTCTGAACCGCTGCCGGTAGGTCCTAGGCTGGACCGTTACCGGCCTTGTGGCCGTTCGGCCTGGGCCTGCCTGAACCGCCGTGGTCCAGGCCCTTTTTAGCCTCATCTGAAACAGTGTCCCCTAGGCTAACCCTGCCTGTGTTGGAACCGGGCCCTAACTGGGGCCCGTGTGGCTCAGTATGCCACACATACACATACCGGGAGTCACCGGTTAAAGCAAGGGGTAGGGGTGGACTTAACAGGTTACCGGGACTGCAACACACACACATGCAAGTCACCGGTTACAGCAAGGGGTGAGGATGGACTGAACTGGGCTACCGGGACTGCAACACACACTCATACACATAACTACCGCCAATTGACAAGCTAGGGAGCATCCTTGCTAGGGGAAAGCCTACCGTAGCAGCCCGGAGTGAATCGCAACACATACTTGCGTCAGGCAGCCAAGAGATGAGTTTGAAAGCAATCTACCAAGGGGAAAGTTTCACCGAAGTACCCTGCAAGGAAGCGCCATACACATGCATCCAGGACAGCAAAAAGGTGAGTTTTGACAGCAATCTATCAAGGGAAAACATCACCGAAGTATCCCGGAAGGATGCGCCATACACACGTGCATCAAGGACAGCAAAAAGGTGAGTTTGACAGCAAATTATCAAGGGGAAACATCACCGAAGTATCCCGGAAGGAAGCGCCATACACACATGCATCAAGGACAGCAAAAAGGTGAGTTTGGAAGCA